CGCAACTCCCCAATTACTGAGTCTTGAAGAGGAGGATGGCACAGTGTCCTAGGTAGAAATATATAAAGTGCTTTGTCTCTGGAGGTAATCAATCAGATACAGCGTAGAAGATGTGTGTGGTAAACATACCGTGAGTCACGAAGCTGCCAAAATTTCGCCCTACGATACAGTGCCATGTGGCGCCCTTGCGACTGTCAAACTAGATCATGTCAGCTTCTGCATTGCCACTGAGACTTCAGACGATATAAACTCACTTCTTTCTTGATGTGCTGAGCAATGTCCTGATTCATTGTTAGCGCGGAGCTGGGATGAGAAAAGGGGTTGCCCAAAGAAACGAGCGGAAACCAATATGTCCCTCAGAAGTGCACGGAATAAGAGAAATAGAATGGACGACCTACCTTTTCGATGCTAAATTGGTCCATCGCCTGCTGTGCTATTTATTGTCAGTGTTTCAGGTCACCAAACCTGGCGGCTCAGAGCAACTTGCCAACTTCAATCGCCTCCTGCTGCATCTCTTCAGACTTTCGTACAAGACGTTAGTGAATATGCGCGTGAGACGCGCAGTGGGTAAATTACCATATCTGCAGACTTGATCTGGGCTGTTAAGACGATGTTAGCCTACGGATCCTCATGAAAATTTCCGGCATAAGCTTCCTAGCATCACATACCTTCCTGCTTGTTGAGCAGCGTCTCCTCAGACTTCGTGCTTGCCATGGCGGACGTTGCGCTACAGAAACAAATTACTCAAATAGGATGGTGGTGGAAGAAGGGTTGAATTAGGCTCGGCACAGTGCAGCAATTCAGAGGGTTCGTGGTTGTTGGTGTATGGGGTCCGGGCTGCCTTTTGATGGTCCTTAAAGAGACGCAGGTGCCACAGTTTGGTCTGATCGGTACTTTAGACCCAGCTCGCTTGCTCACAGCGCTTAGACCTGTCATAAAAAATTCAACTTTCATTTGATTCATCACCACGAGCCTCACAGCAGGCCACGGCTTGGGATATCTTCGCCATGGACTCGTCACGAATATTCGTGAGAGGTTTGCCTCCAACGTACACGGAGGATGAGTTTCGGAAGCACTTCGCGAAATACGCAATCACAGACGCAAAATTCTTTCCCCATCGTCGAATTGGGTATGTGGGATACAAAACTCCAGAGGACGCCGCGAAGGCCGTCAAATACTTCAACAAGTCCTTCATTCGGATGTCCAAGGTTTCTGTGGATATAGCTCGTCCGGTCAGGGAATTAGTCACCAACTGAAGGCATATGAAGCTAATATTCATCCAGTTCACAGATCAAACCCTCCCAAAATCACGACGTCAGATGAAAAAGGAGAAGAATGGCCCGCCTAATACCGATTACGCGCCTCCACCAATGGAGAACCTCCTCAAGCGAAAGAGGATCGAGCAGGAGGTGGAGCAAGATCCGAAGTTGAAGGAATTTCTCGAAGTTATGCAACCTCCATCCAAAGCCAAGAGTTGGGAAAATGAGCGAGCACAGCTTAACTCTACAACAATCCCGGCGGAAGAGGCAATGGAGGAGGTTGCTATTCCCGAGGGTGACAGTGAGGATGAGTACCAGGTCATCTCCAAGAAGCCAAAAACTACCTCCGAGAAGGACGAGAAGCCGTCAGTTGAGTCGAAGTCACAGCCACGTGAAAGTAAATCTCGGACAGATGATAACGGAGAGTTTTTGGATACTACAGAAACGACAGAAGAAGCTGAGGGTGGCCCAACACCAGACGAAGGACCCGTATCTGATGCTGACTGGTTACGGTCTCGTACAAAAAGGGTATTGGAACTCGAGGACGATGAGACCACTTCACCGCCGAGCACCAAAACTGCAGAACAACCCAACGTCAATTCTGATGCAGAAGAGAAGGTATCGGGCAAGACGGAAGTACCACAACATACAGCAGCTAAGGCTCAAGAAGCAATGTTGTCGGAGGAGGATAAAATTCGGAAAACAGGGAGGTTATATCTCCGAAACCTCTCCTATGATGTCACCGAGGATGATCTTCGAGATCACTTTTCAAAGATTGGAGCTTTGGAAGAGGTAAGATAAGACCATTCTACTTCATTTCACGTCACCTGCATTATGATGAATATCCTGATAGGGACAACTGATGCTTCGCATATGAAGTCCACAGGGAGAGTATTTTAGTAGATGACTCTTTTATCTGATTAATGGTGCAATTTGAAACTTCAAAACCGAAATGCATTGTCCATTTTATTACAACCGGCTTACCGTTCTATAATAGGTCCACGTTCCGATTAGTAGCAGTACCGGCACCGCGAAAGGATTTGCTTTCTTGCAGTTCAATGATCCTGAACATGCTGTCGAAGCGTTCACGCAAAATGACGGCACCGTATTTCAGGGACGCCTTCTCCATGTACTCTGCGCTAGCTCAAGGCGAGACGCCAAACTAGATGAATTTGCTATTTCAAAACTCCCTCTCAAAAAGCAGAGGGAGATCAGGAAAAAGTCGGATGCAACAAGCTCGACTTTTAACTGGAATTCGCTGTATCTGGATGTAAGTTACCGTGTAACACATTGATAAAAATCTCTAATTGGATCTAGACCAATGCAGTCATGTCATCGCTCGCGGATCGTTTAGGCATTAGCAAAGCAGATTTGGTGGACCATACATCATCAGATGCGGCTGTCAAGCAAGCTCATGCAGAGACACATATGATCCAAGAAACAAAGAACTACTTCGCCCAACACGGCGTGGATCTAGAAGCATTTAAACGAAGTTCAAAGGGCGACATCGCTATTCTCGTCAAGAACATTCCTCATGGAACGAAGTCTGAGGAGATTCGAAAATTGTTTGAGGAGCATGGCACACTAAAACGATTCCTGATGCCCCCTGCCGGTATGACGGCCATCGTTGAGTTTGCGAACTCTGCACAAGCCAAGTCCGCGTTCAAGTCATTGGCCTACAGGAAAATCAAGGACTCCATCCTCTTCCTTGAAAAGGCCCCAAAAAACCTGTTTACAGATGGAGTCAAGGTACCTGTTGCGTCCGAAACGTCAACATCTCAGCAAACTGGTGGCAAGCTATCCGCTACGGATCTGCTTCAAGATGCACCGGAGCCGGAGTCCGTCAATACTGCGACTTTGTATGTGCGAAATTTGAACTTCTTAACCACGACCGAGCGCCTCAGGGAAACGTTCTCCCCATTGGAAGGCTTTCAAAGTGCAAGAGTGAAAACGAAGATGGATCCCAAGCGAGGTGTGCTCTCCATGGGTTTCGGGTTTCTTGAGTTCAAGGATGCAGAGGCAGCGTCAGCAGCATTGCGGGCTATGGATGGCTACAATCTTGATGGACATAAACTAGAGATCAGAGCCTCCCACAAGGGTGCCGATGCAGCAGAAGAACGTCGAAAAGAAAATGCTGCAAAGAAGGCTGCTGGAACAAAAATCATTATCAAGAATCTACCCTTCGAGGCTTCTGTAAGGCTTTCAAAATCCTTCCACGTTTTATTCCGCTAATGTAGGAACAGAAAAAGGATGTCCGAGCTTTGTTCGCGCCGTACGGACAGCTACGGTCTGTCAGGGTACCGAAGAAATTCGATTCTTCGTCTCGTGGCTTTGGTTTCGCTGAATTCACCACGAAACGAGAGGCAGGAAATGCCATGGAAGCCCTTCGCAACACTCACTTGCTGGGCCGACGTCTCGTTCTGGCATTCGCCGAGGCTGAATCTTCTGATCCAGAGAAGGAGCTCGAGAAGATGCAAGAGAAGGTTGGCGCACAGGCTAATAAAGTTGCACTCCAACGCCTCACTGGAGGCGGCCGAAAGAAATTTAACGTCGTAGGCAACGATGATCTAGGCGAAACTTAAAGTAAGAAGCGTGTTCTGGCATAATTTGCGGCGCGACACCATCAGACGTCCCTTGGTTGTCCCCTTGCTTTTCTTATAATGACGCAAGGCTACCCTTGGCTCGCCCTTCGCCTATGTACTGAAGACATAGTCGTCACACCCCTTGGCATGGTCTCATAAATTTCCGCTATCCGCAACAGGAGATTTCATTGCCTACATTGGTCTGAATCAAGCCCACGCCAACCACCGCGCGTTTGTTGCCTTGCTCCCAAAGTCTTAAGACGCGAAAGACATTCGTCGATATTACACGCCCATCTACGAAGAAATCAAGGCGCTTGCCACGTATTAGTTATTTACATTCGCTGACATTCTTCAACTCCAGAGCATTCCCGTGCCCCACCTCCCTCGCGCAGAGAACGTGAGATGCTTCTCTCCAATCAGATGATCGTTGAATGGTCGGCAGTTATCTATGCCCTTACTCCTTTTGCTAACTGTGACGGATACAGCAATATTGACATTCCGTTGAATATCAGAATGGTGAGAGGTAATTACATTGAAGGGAAGCGAAAGTTGTCCTGGGAACAGTTTGACTCTTGTACTGTTATAGCCTAATCTCAACTCAACATTATGTCACCAAATTGACTGCTCCGTCTCAATGGTAGCTTGCTGTGCCCTCGAGAGGCAAATCTTGTCCTGACTGCTTGCCTAGACTCGCTATATCATGACTTGATTCTCTCCTACATTTCTTGCCTGCCATCCACATTCTCTTCCTTTCCGCTAGTCATTCTTTTGCTCAACTCTCTACGTTCTTTCTCTCAGACATTCTTAGACTTTCATTCTTTCAACCTTTGATATTCCCACGTTCAATGGAACTACAACATCGTTCATGCGTGCTGCCGTCGAACGCTCCAACGTTAGTGGAGGACGCTCTCCCAGATTCGGCCGTCCGAAGTCGAGTTCTACAGGAGCGCTCTGGCAATAGGAGGCATGAGTACATTAGCACAGATGGCTCTATGTCATGGAAACGGACACCATCATCTCCAATAGAGAACCTATGTTCACATGGATTGGAAGGAAGCTACTTTACTGGCAACATTGCCTCTCAACTCGATGGCGAGAAGTCAGAGGAGCAGATCAATCGCGAAACGGTAAAACTGTGGAGATTGCTCCAACGATCTGAGAAGTACCAGAAGTATCGAGATCGACAACCACGGAATGCCAAAGAGAGGGAGCAGAAATGGCCAGATCATCTAGAGTATGCTTTTTTCAAAGGTATGATCGAAGTCAATATCTCTTTGACCTGGATGTAACAAAAGGCTTACTGGAATAGGTCTAGTTAGGTGGCCACCTATGGGTCGTCGAAAACACATGCTCGATGGACGCCTCCGAGGCCGAAACGAGTTGGTGGCTGATTCGATCGAAAAGGACACCAGTACACCGCGTACACGAAAGCAGGTATCAAGTCACATCCAGGTCCTCAAAAACATTCTCTCAGATCAGCCACAAGGTGAGCGTTGCTTCTCAGTCGGCATGAATTTGCTACTAACAGGTCAGTACTGGTTTACATGTCAACGGTAGATATGGGTGGAAGGAAGCATCGCCATGGAAGCACTCATGCTAGCCATCTACGAGGCCGCCATGGGCTTCACCAACCGTCTGGACAAAGATCGAAGTACAACTCCGCCTCACAAACTAGTCATAATGCGTGGCAAAGCTACAGGCCTCTGCCTTCTACTCAGGTGCTCCCCAATTCACATTCAAACTCTGGTTTGGGTGTTCAAAGTGCCTTTGCTATGGCTGACTTTGCGATGTACGTTGAAGATAAGGATAAGAATGTAGTCCATTTCTTCACCCGACTAGGCAATTTTCCACGGCTCGAAGACCTTAAAGTCAAGGACATTACTCTCTGGAACAAGCAGTATCCGGAGCTGGCATTCCACAAGCCCACACACTGGAAGGACCGTCAAGTTATTGTGTGTGATGCGTCAATCAAAATCATGACGGAGCTACCACCCAAAGATGCTTCATTATCAGTCAACTTCGATATGACGAGCCAAATTGACCTCACATTCTATGAAAGATTAGAATCTCGAACACGATTTTACGATAGTGGGGAGCTTGTTGTTCATCGCAATGAAGGAAAGACTCAAAAGCAGTTGTGCAGCGAATGCAAAATTCTAGGTACAAGCCGAGCCCTCATACCCTTTGGGAGCCTTTTTTGGGTACATAGAATGAATGAACTAGGCGGAGTGTTTAGGGACGCTCGGATGCTCGATGAACAGTCTCGAAGGATCAAAATTGATGCAAACGTTCGCCGTTCTCTACAATACCTGACGGCCAAGCAAGATATTTATGGGATTGCGAGAGGCTCGGACGAGAGACAGTGTTTGTTCACGATACTGTGGCGCTTCAGTCAAACAAAGGGGGCTCATGAACCCGGTAAGACGACTTGGCGTGTTGTTAAATTCGCTCCACCAGGGCAGCACCATTGGATCAAAGCAGAAGAGATGGACAGAAAGAATATGAAGTCACTCATCAACATTACTACTTCGGCTCCACCCACTACGATATATCCCTCTCTTCATTTGGACTTTCCCCAGCAGTCGTTTCCGCACCATCCCGAACAACTAGACCTTAAGAGTCTATCCACAATTACCCTCGAAGGTCTCAACGACTTCTCCAATCCCCAATCGGTGACCGCACCTAGCATAACAACTAATTACTCGCAAACGCAGTCCCTGCCGAGCATCGGACATTCACAGGACACCACTATTTCTCAGTCACATGACTTTCATGATGCGAATGAGATTGATTTCGCGGGCGGCCACATTAACCTCTGCCTCGAGCGAGCAATCAACCTAGGAGTGTACGATGATGACGCCAGCGTACATCTTCCTTCGCTAAACCCTCTTAATCCGATCGCTGGTCTTGACCGTACGCAGACTGACAGCCATTTTGGCGACTTTGGTCTGGGAGTTTCCATGGCAGGTTGCTATCCTACCAGACCCTGGCCTTACCAAGACCTGATTAGGCGGCTCGATGGATTGGTTGAGCAGCACAGTGGGTTGCAGGATCATACCACCCATGGCGAGGACATCGCTGGACATGGCGTTATACATGGCGAGGTTGGGCATGAATTGTGGAAGCTCCAGAGCGGGTTTCCTGAGGATACAGGTGTAGGGGCTGGTGTGGGAACGAACGACGAGCTACTGCCTCAAAGCCATGAGCACGGGATTCTAAGTTTGATCGAGAGAGATCTGCGGGAAAAGGAGGAATAACTTAGGGGGGTTATTAGGTTAATTGGGGGATGATATTGGGTAATGGTAATGGTCTGATGATGCTATCGCCGCGAGGAGGGAAAGGATAATCTGGACGCTTCACGACCTGTCTTAATCTAATAATCTAGATGATATTTAATAAGGGAGGCATTTCCCATTTACATCTCCCTTTGGTTTGAACTGTCTTAGCCATCAGCGCCATATTCGAAGGGAATTGTGAGCCGAGCACATGGTGGAAGCCCCGGCGACGTGCTTAAGGTAATAAGGCGCAGTTGCATCAACAAGCCATGAACGTTGCTGGCAATGATGTGAAAACCTTCCCTCAACCGCCCTACCCCAGACCGCAAACTTACCCGGCAAGCAAGCCGTCCCTTGCTGCACGGACCTCAAACTACGTCAGTCACATGAGACAGACACCATCAAATGCATGCTTTTCACCGCAACCCAGTGCCCTCGGTCTCTCTCCTGCACTAACCATGAAACTTGGCTCGTTCGTTATCATAAACATTGATTTGGTCAAGGCTTTAACAATTCTACAGCTACTAAGCACCTGCCACAAACGCGTTGCAAATGCATGGTTAGCTGCAGATCAACCACGATGGCCGACTTGTTGAAATACTTAATCGTTCCACAACCGCAAGGCGACAATAACGACGAGCAAGAAGCTATCTCTCCCCCATCTAGTTCTAATCCACGAGTTCCTGTCAATTCAACGCCTCTGTCGTTGAACTCGGACTTGACGTTCCTCACCACTGACCTCTCAGCCCTCAAGCACAAGGCTGGAGAAGACACCGACAGCGGTGACGAGTCTGATGGACTGTTTTCTCGTCCTAGTCCCTATTCACCTCCATCCATGCCAACTCTGAACCTCAACGCTAGGATGGAAGTCAAGAACGCCACTGCTGTCCCTACCACAAATATCTCTGCCCACAGGAGCGAGCAGGCTTCCTCGAACACAATGTCAGATGCGTTGAAGAGTATTTATACAATTGAGGAATATGCAGAGTTGCCAGTCGATAGCCCAAATACCCCGTTGCGCCCAAAGGCTGTATCGACTCGCAACTCGACAAAGGTCATTGCTTTCTACGAGAAACTCGCAGCTTTTGGGCTGCCAAACCCGGTCTTGAGACACGAAGGAGATGGACTTAACGGATGGGATGTGCAGATGAAGTTCCTTGAGGGCGAACTGGAACAGACGATAGATGATAGCGGACCGTATCCCAGTAAGAAGGACGCTAGGGATGCGGTTGTGGGAAGGGGATTGGAGATCTTGAGTCAACTTGAGGCGGAGGGTAAGATCTCGAAGAAAGGGAAGGGAAAGCAGAAGGCCGCTTCGGAGACTTTGCAGCCCGAGAAGGAGGAAGAGGAGCCTAAGGAACCGGGTCGGAACTATGTTGGATTGCTTCTTGGTATATTAACGGAATCTCTTTACGCTTCTGTTTTTGGGTCAATGAGGATAGGAGAAGGCATTCCCTACTCTGTTGCCCTGTACCCCTGATATCTGTACTTTATAGCTACTTCTTTAATATACTAACTACGCAACAGAATTTCAACGGTCCAACAACGCCGACCAGCCCAATTACACCATGTTCTCCCTCGGCGCATCCTGGAGCTGCGAAATGCGTCTCCCCGGCCTCTCACGTATCTTCGGCGGCATGTCCAGCTACTTCCCGGGCAAGAAAGTCGCGCGCCAGAACGCCGCAAAGGAAGGAATCGACTACTACAAGTCCATCAATCTCTGGCCCAAGGATATCGATGAGGCTACCGGCTCTATCAAGAAAAAGAAGGCTGTTCAACCACCTCCGTCATCCAAGCCCAAGAAGAAAGCTTCTGGCCCCAACACCACTTCAGCTGTCGAAGCTAGCTACGCATCCCTAGTCGCAGAGGTAGCCCGCGAACTCCACTACCCGGCCCCACAATACGTTTTCGAGTCCGCCGACATACAAGCCCCGAACTTCTACACGGTGAAGTGCTTCTTCAAGGAGCTGAACGGTTCGGGCTCGGGTCCCCATGGTGAGGTACGTCATGTGTATGGCAAGAAGAACGCGAAGGAAGCTTGCGCACGCTTGACGTGGGCGTACTTGAATAGCATCAAGATGCAGCGGTTGCAGGCGGTGCAGCGGATGTTGGAGATGGCCGATGCTGATAGTGAGGATGGGGTTGAGGCTAGTGGAGATGAGCAGTTTGAGGATGCCATGGATGTTTCCAAAGGCGATGTTTAGGTAAGGTGATAGAGGAGGCAGAATTGGCTTCGGTAGGTGGTGATGAAGATTTTCTTGTTAATGGTTTGGCGTCTGGTTTGGGCTGATGTACCCTCATGACCTGCTTCTCTTTTTCGGCGTTTTCTCGGGTTTACTTTCTCACATCCAGATCTCTGGCCTACATGGGGAGTATACGCGGCTCCTAGATGAGGTCAATGGTCTCGACAATGCCATGCACAAAATTTCTCGATAATTTAAAAACTTTTTGGGATCGACTTAGATTGCGTACACAACATATCAATCCCACTTCTTTGGGCAAAACAAGCGGTACATCATGAAGTAGCCCTGGAGCATGATGCCTTGGGCTATCCTGTACACCAACCCCTCGAAGTCAAAGTCCCCTTCTCTAACCATGCATCACGCTGGGTACAGCTTCTGAGCAGCATTCTGCCAGAGATGTAGTTCTTAGCGTGCTGCTTTTCCTTGCCCTGTGAGGTGGGCACGGGTGTCGTGAGTGCCGCATTTTGAATGCGTACACACAAAAGGGAGCGTTGTGTTATGACCGTCCTTTCATTTCAGTAACTCGTCCCGAATGCTAGATCCCTCTGACAAACCGACATATTTCTAGCTCTACACAGCATCCTATTGGCAACATCATGGTATGTACAGGATCTAGGCATGGCCGTGAGTAGAGATGTACTTCTCAGTGTCCCTGCTCTATATGCTTGGATTCACCATCACAAATGTGTAGGATCCATCCATTGAGATTTCAAGTTTTCTTTCTGCCGAACCTTATCCCTAACGCCTATCTGTCAGTATTACCATCCCCTTTTGAACCTCAGCGCCGGATGTAGGGTACAGGCTGCTAATCTACACATGGGGTACTTTGGTACTGTAGAAGGCGTATTGAAAGGGTGAAGAGAAAAATCCGCCTCGGCCGTAAAGAGCTAGGATGCCATCATCTGGAACCCAATATCTCGCCATCTGGACGATTCGAACAGATAAGCATGAAGGTATAGCAAACCGTAACTCCAGCTTCCTCGAACGAAGTCGATGAAGCAATCCATCGTGACAAAAATACCGCAGACCGGGAGGAGAGACGACCGTGAAGTCAAAACAATTAAGACATGGATCGAGAGAGACAAAGCAGACATGCAACTCCGGCTAGGGATACTTTCGCCATCGTTTCGCACTTTCGGCAGGAATGGTGTGAAACTCATCTCCCACAGCAGAGCATAAACATGTTAATGTCTGGTACAGCTAGACCACGAGGCATAACTAGGCAGCCGCGCCTTCACTCTTCCTCTTGCTTCGATCGCGCTTCTTGCTCTTCGTCTCCTTGGGCTCAGCCGGCGTCTCAGCAGCTTCAGCCTCTGCATTGCGAGTGCTCCTGCTCTTGGACTTCTTCTTAGGATCCTCCGGGCTTGGTTCCTTTGGTCCGGGAGCTGGGGCAATGGCCGGAGCAGCAGTCTTCTTGTCTTTCTTGCTTTTGTCTTTTTTCGATGTAACAGGCGCCGGGTTAGGGACTTCGACGTTGGAGCCCGGGGGAAGGATCTGTGTTGGTTGACGAGAGCTGGAAGGGATTGGGACGGGGACTGGAGATGGTGCGAGGGTGGCTGGGGCAATAGGGACGGGGGCGTGAGTGCCGTTGGTGTGGGGAGCACTGGTACCCGTCTTTTGCCTCTTGCTTGGCCTCGGGGTCTTCGCGTTGTTGGCAGGAGAGGGTGCTTTGGCAATGGGAGTGGGCACCACGGCTGCAGTAGCCTCGTCCTCATCCTCGGAAGACGCGTCGGAGTCGAGGGCGCCAACTTCAGCTTCATCGGATGGCTCTTCATCTTCGTGGAGCTCTGCGGCGTTAGCGCCGTTGTTGGCCAGGTATTCTTTCATTTCTTCTTTGAACTTCTCCATTGAGTCGCGGTAGGATGCCTTCCATTTCTGCAACGCGCATCAGTCATGACACTCAAGGAGACAGGAAGTCAGAGTAAGTGAGGGTTGCGAGATACTAACCTCTTTGTCCTCCTCTGGCATCTCGTTCCATCTCTTCGTGACTTCCAGGTTGACGGCATTGGGCTCCAACTTGCCATCTGGCGGGAGCTGAGCCTCGAGATCCTTCCTCACAATTGGTCTCGCAGCCTGCGCGTACAAGAACGCGGCAGTCAATGGCCTCTTCGGCGCATTGGGATCGCGCTCCTTCTTTTCCTTCTTACGCTTACGTTTGTTTCCCTCCGTAGCAGTAGCAGTAGCAGCACCACCACCAGTAATGCCACCAGTCGCGCTTGTAGTAGCACCGCCTTCGGCTGCTGCATTCAGATTCATTTGCCCGATCTGCAGGCTTTCGAATGGACCAGATTCACCCGCCAGAATGGACGCGGTGTGTTGCATGTACGCACTAAGAAGCTGATTGATGCCATTCTGTACGTGCGTAAGGCCATTCTGCAGGTTCGTAAGGGAGACGATGACCTGGTCGGGCTTGTAAGTATCAGGTATCTGATAAACAACAATGGGATGCGCGTATTGCTATGGATGAGTTACGCGTAGGCATGTCCCATAAACTGGATCGCATAATGGTGGCGATCAAAGACATCGGGGCACAAAAGCAAGCTATGAGAGGGTTGCAAGATGACGTTGACGACGTAGACTTGACGTCGAGTCCAAGCGCATCGTGATGAAGGCGATGAAGTCGCGTCGAGATAGGAAGAACAACAGATAGCACATACCGAATCTCGCGTGCGCGTGAACTGCTCGATGGAGACCTGGAGCTCGCCAGTATCCTCCTTCTTTTGTTTCGCCATGTTGACTTGAGTTGCTCCACTCGAGGTTGGTGATGGAGCAGGCTGTCAGGAGGGGGTGTTAGATGCAATGAGTTGGCGGGTCTGGCGGGCGAGAGCGCCTGGAGAGCCCCCGGAAAGAGTGAAGGGATTTTGGCGGCGGCCTGGCGATGGGTGGGCTGCACTCGCTAGT